ATTCAACAGTGATATATTGATTTCCTTTTTGGTTAATGTCTTATGTGAGTTCTGTCATGTTAAATACAAATAAGATACAGGCATAAAATGGTCCTTGACCTTTTTTGTTAAGAAAAACAAGGCAAGTTTATTTCTTATTGAAATGTTTTACAAAGAATTATAATATTCAATCCAATTTAAAAATACTTATTTAACACTTTGTATTAATCTCTATATTACTAGCTTTGCACGGAAGACATAAAACCCTGCCTCAAACTTACAGTCTAAACAGAAATACATATGCAGAATACTTAAAAAAGCAATGTAGAATTATACATTATCTATGACAATGCAGCACAGTAGGTAATGTGTAATGAACTCTTGGATAATATGATCAAGCATATGGACTCATATTATTTGAGTTCTTAGTGTAATGCTTTGATTCAATTATCTCACATGGTGCTTTATACTAGATGCATAAAATGGTATCAGCTGAATAAAAAGGAAGTATTTAGTATACACTGACTCATTTTAATTGTATAAACACATCTGAAAAATGTTCCTTTATTTCTCAGCGCTGAAATGTTATTAGACTGTATTCGTTCTATGAAACTTTAAAAGGATTAAAATTGTCCATCTATAGGGACTTTTATATCTATAATCTTTAGCATTTTCGATTACTCTTATAAATAATATGTATATTTTTTAAAAGCTGGTAATTAGGTTCCTAATCAACATAATAAATTGACTGAAGAAGGACTAATTCCTTTTATTAGCCAAGAATAGATTATAGCTTAATTGATCATCTGTGATGTGTGGAGACTTAATTAGTAATTGAGATGTGCCAAAATGCCCATTATATTATATTCTGTGATGTGCTGTTTTTGGCTGGCTATATAATAAAATTAACAGGTTATAGAGAAAATAATATTTGTGATAAGTATTTCAGATGAATAATGAAAGTCCTGTAATTGTAAAAATGAAATGGGACCCAGTGAGACAAATGCTTTAAAATGCACATATATAAAGAAAAACATAGTTTACGGCATGATTAGGAGAAAAATTGCTATCGTATGTACTATAGCTTGAAGCAAACAAACTCTTCTGGTTAAAAAAAAAATGGAAAAAGGCCTTAGGTTATTTAGAAATAATTTTCTGATCTTCTGACTGCAGTCATCGTAAAGCTTATTTTCCCCTCATTGTAGTAGGCTACGTACCTGGGGACTGAAGCACTAAATAGGAAAAAGTTACAAAAACATTCTGAGGCTGATTTTAGGTTTGAGGGAGGTCTACAGCTTTGCCAGTCAAAGCACGTGGTCCACCTGCATTGGCATTATAGGTGAACGTATGAGAAACGTTGCATCTTATGCCCCACAGTAGACCCGCTGAATGAGAACATAGATATTTAGTAAGTGACCCAGGAGTTGTGAGTGTACATTAAAATTGGAGGAGCACTGGTCTAAAGGAAATATGGGATTGCAGAATGGCTAAAGGATGTTTTAATAATTCTTAAAGGTCATGTGATATTCATATTAAATTATTTTTATATTAAAATAAAGATGTAGTTTTGAAAATATTTTCTGAAAATAAAATTAACTGGAACTGAAATTATAGAATTTCATTAATTGTAGCAGTTTTAGTCAGAGAGGTAGTTTAGCAGTAGTTTCTACCCACCTGATTCCTTTCATTATAATTCTGTTAATAATTTCAAGCAAGCACAACAGCTCCCTTATGTAATATTTTTATATTCTAAAATTTAGCTTTTATTTCTCATCATAAATAGTCCAACATATTTAGAGAGGCTTTTATAAATATATCAGTTAATTAAAGAGACATATACTGATACATCTGTATATACCACTTTTTACTGTTGAGAGAAATTCAATACGTTTTAATCACCTGGATATTATTCAGAATTGTATATTAGTGGGGAAATAGTTTATACATATAAGAAGTTACATATCAGGTTTGAAATTGAAACAACTAGAAATACTGCAAAATGATGTTTTAAAACTTACCTGGTTCCAGATACTGAAATGAAATATAAAGTTTTGATGTTAATCTTCCCAGTGATAGACGTGTTCAAAAATTTTAATTGATTTGAGCCTTGGAGAAGTGGGTTTTAGAAAATTAATTTAGCTAACACCCTGTAGGATATATTTTAAATAAGAAAGATTGAGGTTAAGGAAAATGGCTGTTAGTAGTTATTGTATGCTGTTTGCATGAAATGATGATCATTTAAAATAGTGTGATGACAACATTGACAGAAAAAAAGGACAGCTGAGAGCCATGGGGGGTACGGAAAGCAGCAATGCAATATATTGACTGACCATGTAAAAGGTACACTTGGTTGAATGGAAATGCCCAAGATATTCTGTAATTTGAGTTAGGCTACTGGAAGGATGATGATTAGTGATATTTGTAATAAAGTCACAATGTTGTGAAATGTCTCATAGGTAGGCTCCTAGTTACTTTGAACATAACTAGGAAGAACTAACTGCAAAGTAAATGTTAGATTTGTTTCATATAATTTTCTATTTTTATTTAACCATGTCATTGTTTGCAATGTTTCTGTCAAATACGGTAGTCTTTATGTAAAATGTGTTTTAAATATTCTCTAGTTATCTTGCATCAGTATTAAATAATGCATTTTACTGGGGATTCTTCAGGACATTTATCATTAAATATTTGAAACTTGAACAATAACAAAGGAAATGATCTCATGCATTATGTGGGGTTCCAATTATTCAATAGCAACCTTTATAGCTATAGTCCCCACCTACTCTTTTCCGAAACATTGGTGCGTAGGCTTTTCACACTAGGGAAGGTTATAACTGTATTGAAAATGATCACCAATGCATCATAGAATTGCTGACAATTTTTCAAAATGAGAAAAGAGATGAAATGAGAGTGACCGTTTCTTCAATAAGTTTTAAAGCTTTTGTAGAAGAAAGCAGAAACCCTCACTTACACAGACTCTCCCCTGCCTCTTGGGAATAGTGTACATTTCTGGAGAATACCGTCTAGCACATCCTAATACATATGAAAGCCCCTATTTTGGTAAATGTTCCTATTACTTAGAATCCAATCAATTTGAGTTTCAGTGCTTTGTGATGTAAGACCATTTTATGCATCAGATAATTTCTAAACTCCAAGTAGAGTATTACATGACATATTGAAATACAATTTCCGTCTATCATGCTGTACGTCTTCAAGCATTGTGGATGACTCCACTGTCATTTAATACACTCAAGGGAGACACTGCTTCACTATTAATCTTATTTCCTTGAAACATTTATATTAACTTTTAAATCTTCTTAATAATGAAACAAAAAGTAAAGAGATTGCTAACAAATTACTGTGGATGTAAGCATAAATGTAAAAGCAGGAGTATTTATAATACAATGCCATATTAGAGAAGTGAAACTCAATCCTTTTGATTCTCAAATCACTTTTTATAACAAATACTTTATCACATCCTGAAATAAAATCCATACATATTAGGAAAGAAAAGACAATCGACACATACAAAAAATAAGTATATTCACAATAATATAAATGAAGAATAATATAAAAGTTATTGTAATTCAAAAATATGTATTTCTATACCTAAATGCTTGGGCATAAGAACATATAGCAGGTAAATGGTAGTCAAATGTTTGCATTCACTTGCAATTCATTCATTCATTTATTCATACATTTAAAGTGCTTATTGAACATCTATTATACACAAGATTCTTTTTTCGGCATTGTGAATACAGTAATGAAGAAAAGAATAAAATTATCTTTCTACATGGGATTGCAGCAGAAAAACAGAGTATGTACACAGTCAATAAATAAATAAATAAATAAATAAATAAACATGTCATATAATGGAACATATGAAATTTCAGGGGTGGTTTTAAAGAAATACCTGAAGGAAACAGAGGATCTAGCTAGGTGAATATCTACAGGAAAATCATTCTAGACATAGAGAACAAGTAGGAAGTTGCTCGTTAAGGAAGGCAGCATGTAAAATGTATTGCATGGTAAAGCAAGAAGGACCCTGTGGCTGGAGAAGAGTCAGTTTAGGGAGATGTGGTGGAGGGTTAAAGTGAAACGTGGTCAGAGAGGTGGCCAGCAGTCATGAAATTGAGTGCAGCATTATTGGACGGACTTTGGTTTCTTTCAAGGGATGAGAAACTGCTGGTGTGTTTTGTGAAGAAAAATGACATGATATGACTTACATTTTAATAGATTTCTAAGGAAATTTTGTTGAGAAAATAGTGGCAGGGAGGGTGTAGAGAGCAGTCAGTAGGCTGTTACCATAGTCAGCCTCGGGTATAACAGAGTTCTAGACCAGGCAGTAGAGGTAGTTAGAAGCAGACAATCTGCTAGATTTAATTATACTACAAATTGGTTCACTGTAGTAGTGATTATTTTCTACTTAAGGAATCTCTAGGTGTTCCACAGTCCAACCTAACAGGGAAGAGAGGAGAGGTCTTCAAAGGAAGGCATTCCTAGTTTTCTCATTTGTTTTCTTTTGTTTTGTTTGTGCCTTTACTTTTACCTCTGAGTAGGATTAAATTTGAAGAAATTATGCCGCTGTTTAAAAACATTCAAATATAAAATTGCACAACAGAAGGCATGATTCCTGTAGGTTATTTAAATCACAGTTTTGTTTTCAAAATTTTAATTCGTGTTGAATTACTCTGAAAAAATTGACGTGCAGATGAACTATGTCTCCTGTTTATACAGGAATGTAATTCCTAAAAACTGTTAAAGTGCCAAAAGAAAAAAAAAAAAAGCCTAATAATGCCCTTTCTTTAGGATTTGGTGGAAATAAACATTTACAATATTTTCATAAATTGTGGACATATTGCTAAACAAGTAATAGTTCTCAAAACTATTCGTTATTGTATGAAAAATAAAGAAAATGAATGTTTTGGTTGTTGTTAACAAATTGTTGTCACTTTGAATTTAAAATGAAAAGTAATAATGATAATGTTGTCAACTAACTTTTTTTGTTTGTTTGTTTGAAGCTTTGGGAAACATGTACAAAACATTGATGAAATGTTGGAAACCAGTTGAAACACAGTAAAATCAACTCGGTAAAATAGGACCGCTTCTCTTCATCTACGTTGGGATTTGTCAAGGAGTGAACTATGACAATATATCAATTTTTGCTACTGTTTCTACTCTGGGTATGCCTGCCACATTTCTGCTCTCCGGAAATAATGTTCAGAAGGACGCCTGTACCACAGCAAAGAATTTTAAGTTCACGTGTACCAAGGAGTGATGGCAAAATTCTCCATCGTCAAAAGCGTGGTTGGATGTGGAATCAGTTTTTCCTACTGGAAGAATATACAGGATCTGATTATCAATACGTAGGCAAGGTAAGTCTGTGTTAAAATGGCACATATTTGCATTTGCTCTTTATATATTTTACTGATGAAAATTTGAAGGCCATCAAACCATCATTGTTATAAATATAATTCTTTAAATCTCCCTAAAGCATTTTTGTTTACAGAATACAAATTCTAATGTGATAAAAACTGTGGAATGAATATAACATGATAAATGCATACATTTATTTATTAAAATTAATTCTGCCAATAACTTATGAATTAAAGAGGTACTCGAAACTGCGATTTTAGTATTTATGGTTAGAAAGCAATGATAGTGAGAAAGCTGTATGTAAATACGGTCATTTAAATGACAATGCATATGTGTATATGTATATTTCACATTGCTATTGAGTTCAGTGAGGAAGCAAAAACATTTCAAAGTTGTTTAATCTTCTATAGAACAAGAAAGCAAATGTGAACAAGAAAGCAAAATATGATTCAAGGACAAAAATGTTGCTTATTATAAGAAAATTTATTCTAGGTATGAATGTTATTTATTTTTCTTAGGCCACACTATGGGTGCATTTGTATAAAGAAAAACAAATAGGAAGAAAAGCAGGTAAAAATAGTTTAGTTATTCCAATATGAGGTGGACAGAGGAGAGTTTTCATTCTACAGAGTTATAAATTTAGTGAGGACAATTAGTTGTGATTGGGAATGAAATGAAAAGCTTAACATAAAAGCACTAATGAATGCTTTTATACACTAGGTTGTATTAAGTTCAAATTTTCTGTCTTGACACGATCTGAATCTAATTGAAGTCAGATAATGCCTTAGTTGACTTGAGAGCTTAAGAAGAAATTCATTTAATAGCCAATATTATTACCTTTATAGATAGTCTACGAGAATATGTCAAAGAAATAAAAGGAAATTAAGCACACTAACATAAATCACACGTTAACACTACACAATTATGATGGACACATTACTGCATTGCCAACTTTTGCATTAACCTTAACTGTGATATCTTCATTGGAATAATTAAAATTGTGCAAAAGCTTTTTTCTTCTAAAAATCCTGTTTTTGAGACAACATTTTCATTGATTTTGAAACACTGATATGTTTTGTCATATTGCAATCATTTCAGACCTTTTAAAATATTTGGTAAAATGAGAAAGATGAGGTTAAATATCATATTGACTAGAAAGAAAAGGAAAAGAAACAACACCCTAAGGAATCTTACCAGAAAGCACAGAGTAGCAAGCTTTTCACAGATCTCATTGATTGAAAGCCTGGGAATAGAGAGTGAAGGTTGCTCTCATAGACAACTTTTAGTTTATGAAACTAACTGTGTAAAAATATAATAATTGAAATCTGGGCTGTAGAAACTATAAATAGTTTTCTTTGGTTCTTCCTGTACATAGCAGTTAGCTTGTTTGCATCTATTTCCCTTCATCTAGTACTTTATGATGATCTAATAAATGTTGGTAAATTGAATTATCATCATTACATACTCTCTCATTATAGTCAAGCTACTTCTTATTTACTTTGTATTTTTATCTCATAAAATATCAACACCTTGACATCAAGAACTGTACTTCATATCTCTTAGAGCAGTGAGAGAGTGTTAAGCTCTTAGAGTAGATCTTAATAACTATTTAGCTGATTGAATTAACCTGAGTCATATTACACTGAATTCCCTCTGCCATCTGGTGGCATTTGGCTCTTTGGCAGAGAAGACTAGTCTAGAAATTTTAATCACTGAAGACCATTAAGTTGGTAAATTTAAGATATACGCATCTTGATATACAACTCAAATTTTATGCTTCCTACTCTGCTTTATGAAAACAAATTAGAAAACTCTTTAATGAGTATTGGTGTAAGGAATTTGTGAATGTGTTCACCAGTTCTTTTCCATATAGACTGTGCTGAACTGCTAGAGTAACAGAAATGATTTAGGTGTTATAACTCTCCGACTTCTCTGAGTCTTTTAATGGCCAGAGTATCTAGATTTTAGTTCACATTTCAATCAATTTTGTAGTTTCCATGGTGTATTCATGTCATAATCTGTGAAATAGTTGCTTTAACATTTTTTGTCTATACTATAGTATTGTATTAATTACCTTATTATTTGTATTACATTTATTACTGGTACAATTAAAATATTATTTAAGAGATAAGACAGTGTGGCAATTCCTCAAGGATCTAGAACTAGAAATACCATTTTACCCAGCCATCCCATTACTGGGTATATACAAGGATTATAAATCATGCTGCTGTAAAGACACATGCACACATATGTTTATTGCAGTACTATTCACAATATCAAAGACTTGGAACAAACCCAAATGTCCATCACTGACAGACTCGATTAAGAAAATGTGACACATATACATCATGGAGTACTATGCAACCATAAAAAAGGATGAATTCATGTCCTTTGTAGGGACATGGATACAGCTGGAAACCATCATTCTCAGCAAACTATCACAAGAACAGAAAACTAAACACCGCATGTTCTCACTCATAGGTGGGAATTGAACAATGAGAACACTTGGACACAGGGTGGGGAACATCACACACGGGCACCTGTCATGGGTGGGGGAGACGAGGGAGGAGGGAGGAATAGCATTAGGAGATATACCTAATGTAAATGATGAGTTAATGGGTACAGCACACCAACAGGGCACATGTATACATGTGTAACAAACCTGCACATTGTGCACATGCACCCTAGAACTCAAAGTATAATAAAAAATTTTAAAAAAAGAGATAAACATGCAGATGAAGATATGCCAAAAAGGCAATGTTTATGATATTTTAATAAACAAACATTTTGATAAATATAACTTGAGGCTAAAATATATTTTCCTTGTGAAGTATACAAGACTTAAAATCCCCCACATATTCTCTCCATCATTATTTGTAAGGAATTTATCATATAGTCATATTTTCTTTCAGAAATTATTCTTCCAGTTTGTATATCCTTTAAAGTAGGCATGTGATATAGTGATAAGTGTTTCAATGCCTCTGGGTTGGTTTAGATGTTGGAGTAATATGTGTTCCAATCACTAGACATTGACAGATATCTCTCTATAGGGGAATATTTTGGGAGCTCACAAAGCACTCTCCCACTAGCAATGGAGAGGCTTACACTGGTTTGATGAGGACAAGACTAGAAAGCACCTGTGTGGAGCAGAAGAAAAAAATTTTTAAATACCCATACAATTAGCTAACCAGACCCTAGGAAGAATTGATGCCTATAATTTCTCAGATAGAAACCTATTACTACTATGTGGTTAAAGCAAAATGAAAAAACCATTACTGCTCATTGGGTTAAAGCAGAGAGGAACTTAACAAAACATACAACTGTTAATCAGAAAATCTAGGATGTGGCATTTTTTTTTGCCACTGTCTCTTGGCCTTCTCTGAACTTCTCTTGACCTTCATTTACTTATCCATGAAATCAAAGGGCATGATTATAATGTATTATATACACTAATGCACTAACATTATATATACTAATTTCTATTATTGTACTCACTTCTAATAATGTTACATTATAAATATAAATTATATGTGTATTTAAAAACTCATTTAGAAAAAAAATCAAGAGAGGGAGAGAGAGAAGGAAAGGAGAGGAGTAAAGCCCATTGGCTAATTGTCACTGCCACAACTCCTTTTGTTTTGTAAGAAACAAAGTCAACCGTACTCAATTCAAAACATTTATTTGTTGAGTTCGCCATAAAAAGAAACATTTTCCGGTAAATCATTCTGTTAAATACATTCTAAACAAAAGCATATTTCGCGTAAGAGCTTTCTTTTTCCATTTTTTCCGTGATCTAATCATAACACTGACCTTTAAGAATCTTCCTGTATACTGGAATTTATTGGAATATGTGGATATTTCCTGTATACTTACTCCCCTCTCTTTATCTTCCAAGGCAAGAGCTTCACATGTTGAACTTCAAGGAACCTACTTTTGAAATATGTTACCTCCATAGTGAAACCTTCTGTAAATATTTTAAAATTTCCAAATTTAAATTCAAGGAACATTGTGTTTATAAACTCATATTTTTTATTAGTTTAATATTTATTTACATGTAGTTTCCAGTCAGTTTCCTATTGCTCAATCCAGTTGGGTTGAGGAGATAATTTCAAATTCCTCAGCTTCCATGTCTTCAAATCTAAAGTAAATAATGATATTAAACTGTAAAGTCTTGAATTTACTTTTAGTTGTAATAAATATGCAATTCTAAGCAAATCACTAATTTTATATTTCCTGCACAAACTTTGTCTATATTTTATATGATAATTAGTCTCAGGTGGTAAAAAAGCATGTTAAAAATAGATTTTAATCAAAACCAAAAATTGAGAAAAATCCCAAAACACCAAAAAATAAAAATAAAAAATAAAAAAATAACATAGAGGGGCAACCATAAATCTTATTCTAAGTCATTATAGTAAAATCTCTCTTGCCTTTTCCTAACAGTTCTACCTAATTTTATTTCTTCATGGGTTCTTACTTCTAAATATGCTCTCAATACTTCTAAATATGCTCTCAATTATATTCTTCCCTTCAGAGTTAGCATTACTGTTTGTTTCCCACAGTGTAGACTTCTGACAAGACCTCCTGACCTCCTGTTTATGTCCAATCTTAAAGCATATGTTTTTCTCCAGTCTCGTGGTCATCCTTCTCTACAGACTTCTCGGCTCCAAACACCCACTATGCATGAAGTATATATTCCTTCTTTCAGTAAATATGTGGAGGACCTTCTAGGTACCACTCTGGTATTATGCACACAGTAGGGAAAATATAAGCTCTCTGCTCACAAAGTGCCGGCCTTTAAGAAAGAGAACAAATACTAAGAATAACAGCAAGTTATGGGCCTCTTTTGTCTCAAATATAACACAGACTCCACAACCAAGAATAAAACAATAGTCGACAAATATTCCCATGTTCTGTTTCTGCAGTACTTGTAAATACAGTGAAAATGAAACAGTTTGGGGTTTTTTTACTGTATGAATCAATGTTACTAAATGTTAAG